CCCCCCCCCCCCCCCCCCCCCCCCGTTGTTGGAAAGTCTAAACCGACACCGACACCACCACCGCCAAGAACCATACCGTCAATCAACAACAATACATATGGACAAACTCGATTTGTGCACGCTGGAACCCTGAACGACACACGACATTAACAATGAACACCACAGCAGCAACAGTTGTTGTTGTTGCTGTCTTAACATTAAAAGCCGTTCCGGTCTCCGCTCAGTACCTTCTAGTGTCCGTACTGGTCCAACTGACGCGGACAGTGGACATTGTTTTTTGCGCGCTTTCCCTCCTTTGAAACCTCTGCAGGCGTAATTCACTCTCAGGAAGGGTCCACGGTTACGACACAAGATGGCACAACGAACCACTTCCACGACAACTCCGCGCTTTTCGGAGGCATGTTTCTTTGTAACGCCTTCGGTTTCGTGCATGTCATTTCCCTCGTTTTTTCGGGGCAAAATGCATTGTTGGAGGTTCACGTCTCACGTGTGTTCCATGGGGCAGCCATTGGACGTCCCACGTGAACTTTCAGTGCTGTCAGAACCAGGTTGCGTCCCTGTCTGTTGCACGTTACTCTTTTTTCCCTTTGTGGTGCGTCTTCGGTTGGTAAGTAGAGCCAGGCTGAACGTGTTGTCACTCGGAGTGGCTCGGTGATTTGTGCTTGTTTCGGCGTTGTGCCCGTCGAGTTCCTTTTGGAAGACCACCAAAGTGATCATGATTGACGTCCTTGTCTTGATCGTCGTCTGACGTTTGTCTTGGCACCATGAAGAGTACGCTTTTCATACAATAAGATCACAGTTTTTGTGTTCGCGCGCTGCTTTTACAACATTCCACTCGTTCGCCTAAAATAGCCTTTTGTATCTAGTCGAAGGTTCATTTCACTCACGGGATGTTGCTACAGCGACGTCTCGTACCATGGTATATAATTCTTCTTCCCGCTCCCTGCGTGTAAGTATTATTGTAACATCGACTTGAACATCAATCAGGTGCGATACACTCTCAAGATAGCTCCACCGTGACCTTTGGCGACGGAGGCGTCGTTTCGATCTCTGGCAACACGGCGGAGTTTCAGGGAGGTGCGAGCGACGACCTTGTCCCCGTGTGTTTGGAGAAAGAAAGATGCATCGCAAACACTTGCTATGGAAGCACGTATGAACGGCGTCTGCTCGTTTATCGTTGTCGTGTGTTGGGAAAATATGTGTCAAAACGCTTGCGGAGGAAGTATATACGTATGAACGGCCTACGTTCGTTCGCTACAACTGTAGATTTTTCCCCGCGCAGGTAGGCCTTCTTGCAAGGACGGCGAAGTAGTTTTGGGCCCGTGGAGCTTAGGGCCTTTTGTGCGGGTTCAACAACAACAACAACAACAACAACAACATGACAATGACAATGGCAACGGCAACAATGACAACGGGAAGATCACATCAGGCAGGAGTACCGTCGATCCCGTCCTGTGTCCGAGCAGTCAACTCTGTGCGTTCACTCTCCGTGGCAACAGGTGCCGTGAACCTGCAGCGCTCTTGCACCATGCGGACGGAGGGAACTACGTGGTTCATCGGCAACCAGGCGGGGAGCAGCGGGGGCGCCGTGTGTGCCTCCAACGAATCGGAGGTTGTCATCACCGGGGCCACTTCTTTCGTAGAAAACACCTCGATGAACTACGGCGGTGAGGTTCGAGTGGGATGGATGCCTGAGTGTTGAAGACGGCAAGGGTTCACGTGTCTTGGGGGTTGTAGTCCCTGCTGCGGGTACGTTACTGTCGCCTGCGTTGTTGGTGGGAGATTGAGGCGTGGCGCTGGCTTGACCTCGTGTGACACAGCTGCGGTCGGAGAGGCTCGAGCGGCATAATTCGGGATATCGGTGGTGTCGTCATTGCTTTTGGTGGTATTGCGGGGGCGGGGTGGGGGTGTCTTACGCAACAATCGCATGCCGTAGTCTTTAGACCATTGACCTCGCATCCCTAAAATGCCGGGACGGAGCGATGGGCGGGGTGTTGCGGGGGGTTATTGACAGTTGTCTCCTACGAAGATGGCGTGGAATTTCTGGAGTGAATGACGGTCTGATTTTTTTTTTTCTTTGGGCGATATTTCTTTGAAACCCGTTTTCGTCGTCTGCCGTCCAACTTAACTACGCCGACAGAAAGGGGGAACTTTGATGCTGACACAGTTTTGGTCCCAACGCCCGTACAAAAGTTTTGTTCGAGCCGTTTAGGTTCTCTTGGTTTCCTTTGCGTCCATGGCGATACACGTCCTTCACGCCCTCTATCGGGATGTATGTCGCCACGAAGAGGCACCATAACGGACGGTGACCAAAGACGGCATTTTCCTGGACCGCCTACGCAGGATTTTTAGAGCGTCTAGGAAAAGAAGGGACCGGGCACGCAGACCCTATCCCTATCCCCAATGCACGGATTGAATACTTCATTCCATACGTTTGTTTCATCAATTTTGCTGCGTAGACTCCTGATTTTCCTTCACGCCCTCTCTCGTCATCTCGCCAAGAACAGGCGCAGTAATGGTGACGGAGGGCGCGGCAGTGCGCATCCGCGGGAACACCACGTTCACCAACAACTACGCCCTGTTCGATGGAGGTATCTACGTGTCGTTGTCGTTGTTGTATTTAGCATCGTCGGCGTTGTCGGCGTTTTTTGTTTACGTTGATGCTGCTGTTGCTGTTGCTGTGTGCTATTTCGCGCTCGAAAATCACTCCTGTGTGGCTGCGGCTGGTTGCGGTGGGTACCCGTGCCACGGCCAGCCTTGTTGACCGACATACTTGACCGTCGGTGTTTGCGGAGGATGTCCATGTCGCTGCTGCTGCATGGCGGGTAAAGGACGAGAGAGCCCAAGAATGCACGCACGAACAAGCGCGCCGTGGGTCGGTCTCGTTCCACCCCCTCCCCCAAACCCTGCATGCTTCCACGTCGCATGGAAACCCCAACGAGCCAGTCCCTTCTCAAGAGCTCCCTTCCCCGCACCGAAGTAGCATCACGATCTCTTGCTGTGGCATTGTGGCGACCCGATGGGCGCACCGGGCGCCGCCATCCACGCAGTCCGACGCTTCTCCCCAGAACAAAACGAGCACCCGCGGCCGGCGAAAATTCGGCATGTCGCTCCGTCCCGGCATTGTAGGAATGCGAGGTCATTTCGACCACGGCATGCGTTGACATGAGTACACCCCCCCCCCCCCCCCCCCCCCCCCCCCCCCCCCCCCCCCCCCCCCCCCCCCCCCCCCCCCCNCCCCCCCCCCCCCCCCCCCCGCCGCGTGCGCGCCTCGTTTGACGCAACAAAACCACGTCGCCAGGCGCGATACAGTCGGAATACTCTTCGAGAGTTCAGATCGCGGGCCGGACTCTTTTTCTCAACAACACCGTGGGCAACTTCGGAGGTGTGTGTGGCGTGCTTGAGAATCGTTGGAATATATTCCGTCATGTGTATCGTGAGATACTCGGATCAGGAGTTTGATAGCTTGTTTCGTAGTAGGTGCTTCACGCAACAAAACCTGCTTGGCGATAGCTTGTTCACTTTTTTCGGTGTGGTCCGACGCGGAACGGAGGAGAGTGCGAAGATAGAATGGTTGGATGCGCTGCTTGCAAGATATCGAGAAGTTGTTTTGGTGACCTCGCGCCGCTGCGAAAAATGGCTCCCAAAGAATGTTGTCCGTCTCGACGCTACATAATAAATATTTTCGTGTTGACACGTAAGTTGAGGGCCTTGTGCTGGTGTGGCGCTCGCTCGATTGTTACGGACGATTCCGCCAGGTTTATGGTGGTACGGTCACTTGCNCCCCCCCCCCCCACGCCTCGCCACATGGTTTCCTCTGTGTGGCCAGGAGCGATGAACGCGTACGACGATGTGACGATAACGGCGGTAGGGGAGACGACATTTTGGGGCAACACCGCTGAGGAAGGAGGTGAGCAGCACCCGGGACTAAGGAGCCACACTCCCGTCGCAGGCCCGTCCCCTAATTCGTCTCAAATGGGGATATAGTAGCGCATGTTGATAGGGAGTGCGCATTTGCGTTCGGGGTTCATTTGTGAAAGGGATTGTCGCTGCAGTCGACGGGGTAAACGAAACCTACCCCGCGCCTCTCTTGCGGCGCTTGGAAGCACAGTCATTCCTCCAAATGTGAAACTCTTGGCTAGCCGGGATGCCCCTATCTGACTAGGCATTGCAGACGAAAGGATGATGGCCAGCGTCGGGTTGATCCTTGTGAATCCTTGCCTGTGCTGGCGAAATCCCGCCGCGTCGCTCCGTCCCCGCTTTTGTCCGGATTCGAAGTCTGAAGTCTATGGCCTACAGCATGCGTTTACATTAGTACTCCCCCCCCTCCTGAACGAGTTCAAGTTCTGACGGTTTCTCCGTGGGGACGGGGTCGATGGCGGCGCTTGTCATTCTTGACGCCGTTGCGAGACATCCCGCCAGGCGTTGTGCGGCTTCGCCAACCGGGCAAGTCTTTGCGCTCGCCTAAAAAAAAAACACTCGGGTTGTTGGTTTAGGTGGTAGCATACAAGCTGTTGGTGCCGCATTGCGATTTTGACGCGATCTTCCTACACCCACCCCCTACGCCCACTCACTAAGTTGTTCCCGTAACCTCACCGAATCCCAACTGCCAACCATAGTCCTCGCGACGTTTGCACCCCTGTTCCAAGACAACTGCGTTCTGTGCATATCGTCACATGTGGGTTGGTGGCGAACGCGCGCGCTTTGTGCTCTCTCTTTTCTCCTATGTTTTTATTCTTCTTTTTCCGTTCTCTCACACGACTTGCTACAGCTGCCACGAGCTCATCTCTACCGAATGACAGAAATAGTAATATAGGTTCTTCGTTTGGTGACCCCGGGTTTCCAAAAGATCATGAGGCATAACCGTTTCCGATTCGCGATACACGTCACTTTCTGGTGTTCAACAAATATTCTCCCCTTTTTTCTTTCTTGTTTGCCACCAATCGACAAACAGGTGCGGTGTACGCCGACATCGGCGTTACCGTCGCCCTGTCGGGCACGCAGCGGTACGAGAACAACTCGGCCAGAGGAAACGGAGGTAATTCATCATTCAGTGTAGGGCTTTAAATAGGGTGTCCGAATAAGCCCTACAATATGGGCTTAGATTGGCCCAAAGTTTGCCGTGTGTCCAGCAGCTGTACCGGAACAAGTCGACCAGGGAAACCGAGGTGATTGATTGAGCGTGTTGGGTTAGACAGACTCAAGGAAGCCCTACGCGGAACTGGCTCGCAACATGCCCACTGTCCAGCAGCTGTGTGCATGCGAGAATAACTCTGCCCGGAGTAACGGAAGGAACAATATATCAGTGTATGATTCAAAATCAGCCAGTATCAGGCTGGTTTTCTCCACTACTCTGGTGGTAGTCGTAAGTGGGTGATACGGGGCGACGTTGGTGCTGCCGTTGGTACTGTTGGGTGATTCACGTGCGAAGTTGCTGGTCGTTTTTTGGTTGTTTTGTCGGCAGTATTCATCGATCGGTGGGAGACGCTCATCGCTCATGACCACAACCGAGAGCCTTCTCAGACCAATCGAGCATGTTCTTTCGGCAACCACGATATCCCTTGACCAGAGCTGATTGGAAGGTGTCGGTGAACGTGTGAACACACCCTGAAACTACACCGCCGTCACCACGTTTCGGTGGAAAACGGGTGACTGAAACGCTGGAAAATGGTTGGTTCGGGAAGCGTCATGCCCCGAGGCTTGATACGCGGTCCTCATTTTCAGAGCGAGCACCATTTCCAGCACAGGACAGTGACCTCTCCTCCCATGTGCGTACGTTGAAAATCACACAACAGGTGCAATCCACCTAACTCTCGCCCAGTATGCTCTCATCAAGGGCCAGCCAAGTTTCTTCGGCAACACCGCCCTCGAAGGGTCGGGGGGCGCGATCTACAGCTCCAACGTCCCACAGGTACGACAGCAGCTAGCGGCTGGGGGGGGGGGGGGG